CTGGCTGCACATCATTCTCCTATCAATCTGGGTTTAGAGGAGGAGAGTCCCACATGATTATTATTCTCCAATAAAAATAAGTGCTAGTTTGTTTTTAGTAAATAAGTCACCACTCACACTTTGAACATTTATATCTGGAACCATAGTTGTATTTTTATTTGTTTTTTTTAATCTTTGAGGTTTTTGTAACCTTGGGAGATTTTTCAGTATTTTCAGTCCTGGTCATTTTTCCACCAGGATTCAGTGGTTCACCAGACTTTTGTGCTGGACAGTGGGCTTTGAAACCACATCTAGAACCTTATTTTGGGGAATTAAATAGTAGTAGTATTAGTAGTAGTAATTGTAAGTAAACAGACACAAAGTTCTGAGACAGTGTTTCTAAAAATTCTGGTTAAGGCATGTTGGTATGAAAATAAAGGCATGTGGAGTTACCATAGGAGGCATCCAGATGTAATAGAATGTTTCTCTGTTTGAATTAGCACGAATTTTATCAAAGTCTCTGCAAAAATGGCCAAATAACGTGTTAATGTGCTTTTCCATCCACTTCTGATTATGAATATTAGAAGATGGCTGCCTCAAGATAAACAGTTGCTAATTCTCTAGCCGGCTGCCCTGAAACTATTACAGAGGAAGAGAGAGGGAAAAATGACAAAATTAAAAGAGTGGGAGTCAAACCTCAGATGAACAAAAATGCTGTGCAAAACATGATGAAAATATTGTGTTTAATATATTAATGTACAGGAATGTTACAGTCTCCTCATTTCTCCAGACAGATTGGATGTTTTCAACTTCTGAAATTTTTCATGTGTCCAATGAAGCAGAAACTTTAGAGGACGTTTAAGGGATCTTCCACATCTATAACACAAGCTCAGAGGCTGAGCCTACTCTTGTGCTGCCACAGAGGCAGGTTGCACCTGATGTTGTTAAGTGACCAACAATCCCAGACTCAGAGCTGATCATCTTTCAGGCATTTAGTTTAAAGTGTGTATTAAAATATTGTCGTTGGGACAGATGGTAGAGCTCTTGGTAGCCCTGCACTAAAATGACTTCTCCTTTATATTTAAGGTAGACTCGATATCTGTTGGCTGTGATTGGTTGTATCTCGTCACATGCCATGACATGCGGTGTAGGTTCCGAAAGTTGAACTTTTTCTATCTCATGATGTCTCACGCCCCATCGACAACATCACTCTCGCTTTTGAGCGTGTCCTCCATAGGTCTGCTAAGACAACAATGGATTTGAGGGCACAGAAAAAGCAACATGTGTATGGGCCCCAAGTCACATGCATCATGTTCTTCTTAATTTATTTACTAATCTGTTTCCATTTCATTTTGTTGCATGTTGCTTTTATTCAGCCAAGCATGAAAACTTTTTTTGCAATGTTTACTTTTTTTGATCTGAGTTTCCACTCAGGTATGTTTGTGCGCAAGTTGAAAATGAAAAAAAAGGTGGATGGAAATGTACTTAGTGACTGCTGCTGTTCTTGTCAATAACACAACATTATAAATATTGGCTCCAACTGTGTGTTCATTCAAAAGTTGTCAGTTAAAGAGATGAACAACAATGTTCCATGCTGTGGTTGTGCCCCCGTCTGGTCAGTATCCTCTTTTGGACTGAATCATGAATAGCAATGAGAGCTGCTGCTGACTCACTGCTGTCTTGGCTCTCTTTAGTTACATATCAAAAGATTCTTTAAAGACAATAAGGGACATTTAAAAACAGACCTAGACATGAGTTTAGGATATGTCTCTTATCGCCATCTGTCTGGCATCTCTATCTCAGTCTTCCAGTAATCCATGTATGAACAGGCTGTTCACTGTAAAAAAACAAAAAAAACAAAACCTGAAACAGTGTTTGACAATTCTGATCCAAGAAACGTCACAGCTCACTGATCTTAACACATAATCTGTCAGATTGTGTCTTGTTTGTGTTTCAGGTAGTGATAGCTGCTGATGAACACAACACATACATTACAGGCCAGGAGAAAATAGATACTGTACTTTTAAAACAACCGTATCGCCAGACAAGAACATTAGATGGCTCTGAAAAACCCAACATTATTTTTAATGAGAATGGCTGTGTCCAAAATCACTCCATATTTACTTTTTTAGGCACTACATTTACTCTCTGCAAACTGATGGATGAATTCACAAAGGATGGATTGCAGCCACTGATAGCGCTGTGAATTTTGCATCACTTGCAACTGCTGTCTGGTTCATCTCGGGGTTTACAGATTTTGTGCTAATGATATTTCACCACAAGCTGCAGATCCTGACCAACAAGGTGCTGGTGTTTTACAACGTAGTCCTTCAGACTTTTGCTCTTCAGTCACCACTAACTCTCCAAAGACACTAATTTCATTGTAACTATGTTGTGTGTGGATATTAGCACTAACTATTGTGAACTGGACTTTTTGTTACAGTGAGGCTCATTTGCATAGAAGGGCCACTTTTGCATCAAATATATTTATATTACTTATATTAAATACCAGCAGATAGCACAGGAGCATCAAGATTCTATTAGCTTCACAGTGTGGTTAGGAAGCAGTTCACCTGTTGCGGGTGCTTTGAGAATTTCAGTTCTTTGTGTCTTATGTGTGCAGATTTAGTGGCTGCAAAAGCCACACAATCTTCTTGTGAAATAGCCCAACAGTGTGCAAATCCAAATTTCCAACAATAAAATGTAAAAAGTAGCATCCATGTTATTTACACTGCTTTCTGGCAACAGTGATTTAATGCAGAGGGTATTGTTTTATACATGCAAAAATGTACATTGTATGACTCTACAGCTGTCAGTGATGATGCTAAATATGATGATTGCTATATTAACAATAGATCAAATGACCCTGTGTAGTGGAAAGGTGTCCCATGGAGAATTATAACCTAATGCTGTGAGGAGTTTTAGCATCTTTCAGCTCATTGTTTTGGATTTTATGGCCAGTAGCTCTGCTCAGTACCAAACACCAGACAGACAGACGGACAAAATTAGCAACTAGCTAGTGGACATAGTGAAGCATTTAGCAGCTAAAAAGCCAGATATTTTTCTCAGGAGATGGTGGAGACCAAAACAGAGCAAAAAAAAAAACATTTATTATGTGACCAGCAAACACAAATCACAATAAATGCCAATGTTGTTCTGTGTCTGCTGGATGTGTAAATACAGTAGGCAACAGTTTGCAAACATGTTTGCCACTTTTAAGGTGATATGTCCATTTCATGTTTACAGCTTGTTATGTTGCCCCTAAGTGGCAAAAAAACAATTCATTAATGCAGGTTTAAGGATGATCAGTATTTAATGTGGCAGATGTTACTCTCACAGCCTTGTCTTTAGCTCTCCTGTTGTATTTTCTTGCTCTGCCTACAGCGATATTCTGACATTTTTTTGTATGTGCACCAGTAACTTCCCCACGTTATTTAGAAAGAATGTGCATGAAAGAAATTAAAATTTTCCCGCTGAATGTAATGAGCAATGATTTGGTTAATGGGAATCGTACATCTGATTACATTTCTTGTTTTATTGTGATGCTGATTTAGCAGCCAGCACCAGCAATGAAAACCCAAATGAAAACTCAGACAGACAAGATCTTGCTATTCTCTGTAGCTACTGCCATTGTTAAGTAAAATCAGAATCTAACTAGCTTTCTTATATCAGTTCAAAACTGCCTCAGAAGCCCCATTTATGTTTTCCAAACACACAACTGGCAGTGATTGCATGAGGGAGAGTCTGCGTAGGGAAGAAACACACACGCAAACATGTATACAGGGAGATTAACTCAACGCTTTGCCAATATTGTTTCAACTGTGACGTTAATAGAGCAAAGTGAGGTGAAAATTTAATTGAAATTGAAAGAGAGAGGGAGGGAGAGACAAAGAGAAGAGATGAGTAATGATAGAAGAAAAACAGGGCAGAGACTGCAGTCATACAGTATTTGTCACTGTGTTTGTGTGCGTGTGTGTGTGTGTGTGTGTGTGTTGTGTGTGTGTGTGTGTGCGTGTGCGTGTGCGTGTGTGTGTGTGTTGCCTCAGGAACAGTTGATGGATTTGCTGCTTGACTGCTCACACAGATTGGTGCCTGCTGTGATGGCAGCCTTGAACTGAAATTACATGCACACTCCACACACACACACATACACACACAAAGAGAACTACACATAATTGCAATTTCTGTGTGTGCGAGTGCGTGTGTGTAAGTCGGGACAAGCGGGTGTGTTGCCTCCAGGAGGCCATTTCAAAGCACCATGGAAGGATGGATGAACGCGAGGCCAACCAAAGCACCAGAGAGGATGAGACAATTGAACAGGTTCAAAGCACTGTGTTTATGCGTTTATTAATAGCCGTTTATTATATTCGGTGTCATTCTTATTGAATCAGTGACAGGGTGGCTGGCTTCCCCAATAATTATCCTTTTTTTTTAAATTGGTGAAATGAGACAAAAACACAACAGAACAGATAAACAAAGATTAATTTAAACAGCTTAGGGAGAGTTCTGTTTTACTTGAGAGTTTGATGATACGTTCTGTTAATTGAGGCAGTTGGAGTAAATTAGGAATTATCTTGATGTTGTTTTTGATAACAATGGAGATAATTCCCGCTCCACACCTCTAAATCAAGTCCACAGATGAGATTAATGTGTTGTCTTTAAATTTTTGGTGAGGATGTGTGTTTTGTTCCAGTGGGTTGCAGTGTAGAGGAGATGGTCTAGGTAAGATATGCCAACTAAAGATGAGATGAGCATCCAACTGCACCACCTGAGGAATTTCATCTCTGGAAATAACAATAGATACTGCAGGAGTAAGATACTATGTGTTATACACCAACCGCAAAACGGTGTTATTAAAAAATGATTGCTGGAACTAACAAATTGATTAGTTGCTGAAATTCAGAACAGTGAGGTCCCCTGCTATGTGAGGCAATTCTTTAATATGAAAGTATAAGTAAGATCTGTAAAAGTATACTTTTTAAAATTTAACCACAACATGCAGTGAACAGACATTACCCAAGATGACTAGTATACCCAACAGGTCAGTACTCAGCTTTTCTAATTTAGAAGACATAAACAAACTTGCACCAAAAACAACACAGCGGGTACCAGTTGGTTCAAATGGAAATATGAGCAAAAGCTAAACAAAGTATAGCAAATATATAACTATAGAGCATACACCACCAAAACAGCAGCTGTACTGAGACTGTACAAGCATTACTCTGCACCAGACATTCATCATCAATGTATCAGTAATACTTGTTCAGTACCACGATACAGGAATGGCAGTCAAACATTTCAACTCATTTAAACTACACCCATAGGGAAGCCACAGTCTTGAAACCAAAGCCACAAGACATAACAGAGGCAAGGGAGGAAGCCAAGTCCCAGCAGGTGCCTTAAATAACCCTGACACTGATTGAGACTAACTGGCAGGATGAGTCAGTGAAGATGACAGGACCTCATTTAACAGCAGTGAAGAAAACATGCTCCCTTCCACACATGCAAGTTTCATTTTGAAGTTATTAATTTTAAGAAATTATAATGTTTTTTAAGCAGTTGTAATATTTGACATTTGTACCTGTGAAAAAATCATCTTGAAAATTTAGAGGGGACCTATCATGCATTTCCGTATTTTGTGTTGTATATAAAGTGTAACAGTGAAGGATGTTTACATAATTATGGCCGAACTTTCAAATAACAATGTAGTATAATATCTAATCATGTGTTTACAGTAAATTTCCTCTGAGCATCCCCGTGTTTACAGTGTCTTTCTAGTCTGACTACAGTATGACATAGTGTGCCAAATTTCATTATATGTTCATCTGCTTCAGGCATGCTACTTCAAATATTTATATTACTTAACCTAGCCTGCTACTGTACATAAATGAAGCTACATGCTATTGTTGGGGAAACATGCTTCTTATGTTGTTAATTTCTTCCCAGTTTCAGATCTTATTCCTGCTGGAACATGTCCGCTTGTGTTTAAAAGCTTTTATTTGTGATTTTCACTGTAAAAAGTGCAGCTATACTCCGTTAGTCATGGCCACAGCTGGAATGATGGTGCAGAGACACCAAGATTCGGAAGACTGACCAAATATAGCACACTGGGCTTTTTAATGAGGGGGCTTAAAGTGAAAGGTGCTAAAACAGCAACTCAGACAGAGGGTGATACAGGTGTTTCACCACAAACAGTATGAGGCATATGAAGTGTTTTTTGACCATTAAAGCATGTAAACATGTTCTAGCAGAAACCTTAAATTCAAGTATGAACCTGAAAATGAGCATAATAGGTCCTCTTTAATGTTTTGGGGGAAACATAAGATGCACATAACAAGGTATTGTAACCAATTTTCTAAATCATAGTGAAGAAAGTAGAGTCCTTTACAAAAGTGAAATTATAAAATTACATGATTCCATTTAGTTGTAAAAGTTTTGGAACCAATTAAAGGGGAAATTGAGTTGTGGTAAAAAAAATTTCATATGAAAGGTTTTCACCAGCAGTAGTGTGGCTTGAACAACTTGGTGTTGGCAGTGGGTGTTCCAAAATAATACATAGTGCATATTTAGACCTGTTGATGGTGTGTTCTGTGAATTGTGGTGGTATATTCTGAGAGTGTAGGTGGTTAATTGCTTGCTGTAGTAAATTTCTCATCCTTGAAGATAAATCAAAACGTTATCTGCATATAGTTGAATCTTGTGTTCTGTAGAGTGACTTTCTTTCTTCTCTCAGTGCTGTCAGATAGAGCAGACAGTTCATTTAAGATATCAAGTACCAAGGGAGATAGTAGGTATCTCTCTATGGTCCTGCTGTTAAGTGTGAAAGTAAATGTAATACTGTTAGTAGTGACGATGACCTAATGAAATTATGACTGTTTCGTTACAGTGCGACATGTTGATTCAGTTCCAAAGTTCTCTTATGTTACAGATTCTAACAGTTGGAATGACTTATTTAATGTTATAGTGCATAACTAACACAAAGGTTCTCTTTCTTTCCTTCTTTGTTTCTTCCTTCTGTAGCGGAGCATCAGGGAGCAGCAGTGATTCAGAGAGCAGCTCAGAGTCGGACACAGACGAATCAGAGAGCAGCTCCAGTGACAGCGAGTATAATCAGGCCTCCCGCACACACACTCCAGAGGTAGGATGACAAGTGTTACTCTGTCAACTCACACAGTGGATAACATGAGTTTATTGATGAAATGTATGAAATGGGTAAATATACTAATTTGTTTTATTTTCATGTGAAGAAACAAGCAAATATAATGTTTTGTGTGAGAAACAATTGTGTAACAAATTCCAACATCCCTAATGTTAATACAGTATTCAGAATTATGTTTCATATGTTGTGACACATGTTTAAACATTTGTTCTGAACATACTGGAATATTTCTATCATGTGTATAGATTTTATTGTCAAGCAGCTGTCACACTGGTACATCACATGACAAACATTTAGCATATTATTATAAACCTTAATTTACAGATAATTTCTACTGTTCAATAAGCAGTCAGTACAGTTGCCACCTACATATTTCTAGCCCTGGATTGGAGACAGCCAGTCATTACTGGAGTTATGTTTTGTTCATGCTTGGTGGTTGCTACTTCCCTTTTTTCACTTAATGCAGAGATAACATTAGCTTTTGTTACAGAAATCTCGGTCATTAAGCAATCGTTCAGCAACTGGCAGTAAAAGATACAGACAATGTCATGTTTGTCTCCAGGTTTGACAAGTGCCTCCAATTTTGTTTACATTCCATAAAGAGACATGTGCACTTTCACTGGCTTTCATTATTCTTCCTGATTCACCACTGTTTACTTCACAGTGTTCCTGACTGTGACCATACATTAAACGGTCTCTTCCCACAGTCTCTGTGTGGTGTTCTGAAAGTCATAAAACTCGGACTGCACAGAGATGAATTGTAACATTATTTATCACATTATTTTAATGGCTCAACGTCACTTGGTTTCATAAGCTCATACAGAGAGAGAGAGAGAGAGAGAGAGAGAGAGAGAGAGAGAGAGAGAGAGAGAGAGACATGCAGAGAAATAGAAAGACAAGCACGTAGAAGCATCTAACACATAGGCAATGGTACGTTAAAGACAAAATCCTTTGTAAAGCATCACAGGAGTTCACATCTGTAACTTCCCTTTTTTTTTTTTCAGATCAAATAAAATTTAGCAGTGGCACTATGGATAAAACCATCCTAATCAAATGCAGGTGGTGACATCTGATATATTTATCATTTCTGTAATGTTGTGTTCTCCCCTATAGCCTGAGCCACCCTCTGCCAACAAGTGGCAGCTGGACAGCTGGTTGAATAAGGTCCAAGCTCAAACCAAACCCCTTGTTCCCCCACAGCAAGAGCATGGCACAGGTTGGTTACATCCGTTACATCATACATATGAAGAGAAAAAAATCTGATTTGATCTGGAATATTTAATCTGGTCCAATGGTCCTCTGCCCTCTACCCAGGCTCCATCACCCAGGGTCCAGGGACTTTCTCTCCAGGGAGTGAAGCACCAGGAGTGGGTACGGCTGCTAAGACCAAGCCCTGCGTATCCAACAGCACCCCTGCCCCAGCTGCACCAACAGTGGAACACAAGGACACAAGGGGAGCCTTCTGGTAGGAGCTACAAGTGTAGAAATTAATATGGAAATTTGCCAAAGTAACTTATCAAATGACATCTGTGGAGTGAATTAATGAATGAATGAATGACACGCTGACAGAAGGATGAACAAATTGTGGGAAACAACTGACAAAAATGTGACTCTAACCATAAAATAAAAACCAATCCCTGCTTCCTGCAGCCCAGGCAGAGAGAAGGCCAAGGCCAAGCTCAGCCAGAAGGCCTCAGGGGAGAGCCAGAGGTCAAAGATGAGGTTGTCACCGGGGCTGTTGTCAGGGCCAGAGGTCACGACCCCGAGGAGGAACACCACGGGGAAGAAACAGCCCAGACGGACAGAGAGGTCAAACAGTGTGGAGGATAATCAGAACCAGACATGGAGCAGAACAAACCAGCATAGGTGAGGACAAGAGTACAAGACCCCTCCTTAACATTTTTGCTAATTTGAACGTGTTCATACAACCACACATACACCATCAGTAAGTAGTTACATCACAAAGAATGACTCACTCACTACTTATATTAAATGTAAATTTATTAGCAATCATTAGTGAATTTTGGCAATCTTTGATAAAACTGAAATATTTGACTAAATGACCAGAATTCATGAATTCATCTTTTTTTTTTACTGTAACAGTAAGTTGAAATTTTATAGGTGGCAGGTCTAAATGTGTATGGGGAGGTCATTTGGATTTAACTCTAGCAAGCTTTTTAAGCAGTGTGAGGCTTTTTTATGAGACGCAGAGGACCGCTGTACCAGACGTTGGCTGCACAGTCAGAGTTACATCAATACAACAGTTAGTCCTGACCATTTAATTTCACTGGACAAGAGGCATTCTGTGAGTGCTGATGCATCCTTTGGGCATTTAACTATGCATGTATCACTCTGCTCTACAGGTGTTCTAAACCATTTGCCCATAATTAGCCTACATTAATGGCCATTGTAATGAATTTTGCAGCGCACAGATGAACATATCTCAACAAATAACATTTGAGTTAAATTATTAATGACCATCAGAAGAGAATGACGTGAAGGAAAGAAGTGTTGATAGTTCACTGCAAACATCCAGGTGTGCTCATATGACATCAGCCAATGTCACAACATACTGACAAATGGACTGACAGTGATCACAGCAGTGCTGATATTCAGTATAACAACACTCCCTCTTGTGTAATATTGCTTAATTGAACTCAAGTCCTTTCCTGGATGACTACAGTAATTTTATCTTTTAGTGCTCTCAGTGCCATGGCCTCTTCCTAGAGCTTATTGTCTAAAACGTAACTAAAAATTCAGGATGTTTCCTCAGTTTCATTCAGTATCCAAAACAAATGACCTCAGTTTTCCAAATCCAAACATATTCTCTCCTTAAGTCTTATCGTTATCAGTCTTACAGTTTTATCATTTCAGCATTGTCAAGACTTTAAAGAATTCATTTATAATATATAATACAAAAAGTAATGGCCCCAGGACACTCCCCTGGGAGATGCAGCAAGTCATGGATTTAAGGCTAAAATGCCTGATAATGAACTTTTTAGTGCCTGTTTTTTGATGGCTGCTTTACTGTAACCCATGGCTCTTAATTTATACAGGTAAGTTCTGTTCAGTAAAGATCTTTGTTGTGCTTGTGTGCATCTGAGTGAATGAGCAGGCAAATTATGTAATGATCATGTAGGTCCTAACTAACTGATGGAAATGCAAGTTCCCTTACTCAAATAATAATAATAATAATAATAATAATAATAATAACAACTATACTGAGTATTCTAACTTTGATGTGACTTGTTATTGGTAAAATTATCACAATTACTATTAAGGCAACACTGTCACTTAGTATGGAGAGCTTACAGAGGCTCCAGTGGATCACTGAGCTTCTTGGCAGTTAGCCACCGAACACTGTCACTCCCACATCTGTTGTGAAAAATGCTCAGATTGAGTAGATGCCGTGCCAAACTGGCTGCTCAGCTTGATGTTAGGCTAATTGGAAGAAAAACACAGACTTCCTAGCTTTGTTTCTTTATTCTTTTCTCCCTCAACCACTTCCTCCCTTCCCCTTTCCATTTTTAAGATTTCCACATTCAAACAAGTTCGGCTGAATTCATGCTGTTTTCAATTATTTCATGCTGTCTTATATTTTTTTCATTTTAACACACATTCACCCCCTGCAGCTGGCCAAGGCAAGCATTATCTTCTACTGTTTGTTAGTGTAATACTGCATGACAGCAGCAGTGCCTTGCTCAAGGGTGAATCTAATACGGATTGTGACGCTTCATCTTATTGTGCCCCCCCCCCCCCCCCCCCCCCCCCCCCCGTAGCCCCGCAGCTAGGGAGAAGGACCTGTTGCCTCCCCCCTCCCTGGAGCTTCAGAACCCCCTGAGGCCACGAAGCAAACCCCCCAGTGGGAAAACAGCCCCCAGGAAAGAACCTCGCAGTGCTACCAACTCAAACAACAACACAGTTACTCCACCAGCAGCGCTACAGCAAGCCCCCGTGCCAATCCCTGCTGTAAGTGTAAACCAGGTTAGTTTCTGGGAGTTGATTACACACGTGTGTGTTTGTGGGGTTGTAGAAAGTTCTCCATATTTCTTCTCAGTGACGATCTTAAAGGGATACTTGATGGATTTACAACCAGCTTTGTATCATAACAATTTGGGTAGTACATGTAAATGAACTGTTGTATACTTCTCTCCATCTTACCAACATCCAGATTTCCCTGCTCAAATCAAACTGTACTTCAGCATTTTTTGTATGCCCGCCACCACGGACACAAAGAGTATAGCAGCGAATTGAGACAGAGAGAGACCCCTCCCTCTCTTTCTCAAAGTCAGAACAAACTCACATCAAACGGTAAAACTAAGAAGTACTGATCAAATATAAAGATTCTGTTACTGCGTTGCCTGTTTCTCACCTAAAATGTTTTCAGAAACATATTTTAACTCACTGTTTAACTGTTATTGGTGGGGTTTTAGACAGTTTATCCACATTTCTTCTCAGTGATGGTCTTAAAGGGACACTTTGCAGATTTTCAACCTGCTTTGTATCATAACAATGTGGGAATTATTTTTAAATGAACCGTGTTAAACTTCCCTCCATCTAGGCAACACCCAGAGTCTTTGCTTATTGCCAGCGAAAGTCAGCCCAATGGCGCATTTCGCAGTATTTAGCAGATTTTTACCTCCCTCCACAGACACAAAGAGTATAGAAGTGGATCAAGAGACCTGCCCCTCTCTGTCTCTCAAACTCAGACCAAACTCATCAAGCTGTCAAACTAAGCAGTGCTGATCAAATATAAACAAAGATTCTGTTACTGCGTCGCCTATTTCTCAATGAAAATGTTTTCAGAAACATATTTAAGTGCATTGTTTAACTGTAAATCAAGATTGTTTAACACCAGCTGGCCACCATATTGTTTTGAGCCGGCTAAACCCAACTCACTTTACATCACCCATCAGAGTGTTTATTGGTCCGTTGCAGCACAGTGCATTGTGGTAGTTGTAGGTTTTCCACCTCTTGAGAAAAAGCAGATGCCACAGCCCTTTTTCTCTGTGTTCTCTGGACATGTCAGGGGCGAAGCAAATGCTGGATCCTATGCATTAGCAGTCTCTGTGGGCCCCTCTCCTCTCTTGATCCATGTCTCTCAGGTTTTTGGTGCCATTGGTAAAAGTATTTGCATCTTTTCACTGCATAGACAGCCCACTTTTCTGAGAAGATAATCTTTCCAGAGGTCAAATATTTCTTCAGTGGTTGCTTGTAATAATATTAATATCTCAAAGTTAATCCATTCATTATTTATGACTGCTAGAATGCTAATCCAGCAATCCCTTTTTTATTCAAATGACTTTCTCAAGTAAGAAGTGCATGACACAAGTATCTATTTTTTTAATACCTTTATACCTTCCTGACATTTCACCATAGTATGAGGGTATTTCTGTTTTACCAAAAAAAAAAAAAAAAAAAAAAAAAGTGTAAAAGCTGAGTGCTGGTGGAAGTCATTGTAGTTAACTGACTTCTATACCATAATAGTGTGATACTACCCAAGCGAAGACACAAGCACATTGGAGCATTCACCTGTCACTTATCAACATCTGGAATATGTGAAGGCACAGTTTAAAAGTAAGTGCTGCACACATGTAACACTGTCCATGTATCCAGTAATGATCACTTCATCCTTATTGTCTCTGGATGATTTGTCAGAGCCATAAAATTCCACAGGGTAAAAACTGTATTATTACGCGACTATTATGGCTCAACACTGACTGGTTTTTATCGAAATATGGGACGTAAGAGGGAGTCATAGAGATAGAACTGAATCATCGACCGTCGTCTTAACCTATAATGAGTGAACACTGTGTGGTTTTATGAAGATTAGGTAGTTTCAAGAAGAGAAAGAAAGAAAATCAATTACTGTAAACAGACTTTACGTAACATAGACAGATAGAAAAGGACAGGAATGAAGGTTACATAACAATTATACCAGAAAATGGCTACAGAAGAGGAAAATATCCCTTTACTTTTATATAAAAGAGAAGGTGGAGTTTTTCTAAATAAAATGAATTCCATGACACCAAATTCAAATCAAAACATCAATAGGTCAAACTGTCAATGTCATCAGCAAAGAATCAACCAGATGTTGTTAGTGATTGTTTGTTAATGAGTCCATGATCATTAAAAACCTTGTAAATGTTGATCATATGTAACTTGAGACAAAAATCCAGTGAAGTAAAGGTTGACATACAAGAGAGGTGAACATACACCCTCATCTTTGGAAGAACAAAAGAACTCTATAATTTATTTTAAGATGTGCCATGTTTTGATCTTAGTTGATCTTTATGACACCGGTGCTTCACATCATATTTGTTTGCTTTGAAACACAAATTTCCTCTCAGTTTTTATGCCGTCATTCCTCAGAGACAACATTCAATTAACAAATTTACATAGAGCCATGGAATTAATGAAAACTGCATTTTCACATCAACAACTAGCAAACAGCAGCTCATCTCTCCCTAGACGAGGCTTACAAAAGTGACCTGAGAGTGCCTGCCTGACTCTGACATCTGCCACCTCTTCAGCAGCAGACTGCAGTTGAATCAGCCTGACAGCTAATCACAGTTCCAGACATAGAATTCATTGTTTTATCACTATTTATGAATTTACCAACAGGACAGGAGAGCGGTTCCACTTATCCCACTAAGAGGCTTTACCCCACCTACTGCGTGTGACTTTAACCTCCTGTGACCCTGCATCCTTATACAAGGACATTGCGTTTTAGGATTGCTGCACCTTATACTTCATTCTGCTTAAATTGGACCTGTTGTCCTCGTTCCCGGACGCTTTTCTGTGCCATCTAGTGGTAGCAAGAGCATAATACACTAATCCATGTAAAAAAAAAGTAACATGGCGGCCATCTCTGCAAAGTCAGTCTACAAGCAATTCTAACACAAAATTGGACAAGGTAAAAAGCTGATCAATTTTATTATTAAAACTTGTTTATTTATGCTTAATAATGGTTGTTGTTTGATATGGCAACAAATTTGACCATATTTAGCAATAGTAACAACCTAAGACCCTGTTAATTAGGGAGTACTCATTCGAGGATGTTAGGACAATCAGGTGTGACAGATTTCCCCTACAGACAAAAAAGACATTCCTAGCTTGGAGTAGTGGGGAAAATTCATATTCATATTCTTAAAATGAACAATTTTAAACAGTTTAAACTTGAATATTGTCCCCTAACCCATAGAGTTACAAAACATTAAACAAATGTTGCATCGTTTGCAATTTTGTTTTTGCATAACAATGTTCAGGCATTAAGGTAATCAGTGTTATACTTAATTACACACTTGTGACTATTAAAAATAAACCCACTGTCCCTATCTGAGGACATCTTTTTTTCCAAAATCTACTTGCTGTTGAAAGACAGTGCTTAGCTTTTTATTTATTTACTGATAAGTAAATAAAAGGTAATTTTTACCTTTTCATCCCAAATAGCTAGGAGGCATTTAAAATGCATTCCAAACAAAAGCTGAGTCTCAGGAGGTTTAAGGTGCATTACTTGAGGCTAGATGGGAAAAACACTGATTATTCGGTTTTGAGGTTAATTCTCAAGGGCTGTCATTTCACCTTCATTATATTATGTACATACAGAGGTGCTTAGATGATTTGCAGTCAACAACAACCTACTGTAACTCTACCCCTGCAGCAACTGGAAAAAAAACCCATTTTGCCCAAACCTGACATAAAAATCAAGTGCGGTGCTAACATCTGCAACCTGTGCTGTGGGCACTGTCACGACACTTGATCCTCTGCCAGCCTTAGCTGTGCAGAACAGCTTGCAGGACAGCTAATGTCAGTGAGAAGAGAAGAACTTTCCAGAAAACATGGCTTAGGACTTCTATTGAAGAAAGGAAAAGCTTTTGCCAGCAGTGTGGAGACACAGAATACAGGGGACAGTTTTTCTTTTCTTTTTTAACAAAACACAAAATGGCGTTTATTGAAAATGGATTTTGCAGATGGCAACATGTATTGGAAGGATTCCAAAAGTTTGAGAAAACTGCCTCGCGTCTGCCAAGCGAGTGGGTTTTACTCGAAATGGGGAACATTAGTGGGGGTTTTTCTTAGCTGCATCTACCTCTGTAGTTGCTTTCTCATGTTGATGTTGCACACGCAGCACTGCGTCTCACTCTTTTTTGTTTCAAGCTACAGTCATTGATCATTTCACATCTAAAACCAAGAATTTAACATATGAGGGACAATTTTGATTGGATCCAAAAAAGGTCAGAGATGCATGTGTAACTCTTCAAAGCTGTCAAGAAAATAAACTAAGCAGATTTAGGCTGGTTCAGCTTGCTGGCACACATCATTCATACAAGGAGGACGTCAGGGTGCTGAATTGATTGTGCACAAACAGCTATGAGACAAATTCTTCACTTACAGGATAAGGCTGGATGATATTCTATATTTTTTTAAAGATTATTTGTGGGCTTTTTGCCTTTAACAAACAACACAGTGAAATGGGGTGAGAGAGAGAGTGGCGGTTGACATGCAGCAAAGGGTTGCAAGCTGGAGTCGAACCTGTGACCGCTGCAGCGAGGCATCGCCTCTATACATGGGGCACCGGCACTATCCACTACACTACCAATGCCCCATATATTTTTCTTTTTATCAATAAATCTTGTCAAAAGACAAAAAAAACCAATGAATCGATCCTACTAAAGAGTATTCTCTATGTTGCCAAAGCCTTATGTATCTTATTCTTATGAGCAATAGAACTTTGTTGTTTAAAAAAATCACTGCAGAAGTACTGTATTTTATTGCTGCCATCAAATAGGAGAAACTTTGAGTGGATACTGAATGATTTGAGATAACGATAAACTGTCTATTTTGAAATTCTGTTGTTAAATCTGAGAAAGAATTCAGAATCAGAAATGTGAAATAAATCATTTAATTTGCATGTGACAAACATCAGACTGCCTGTGCTCAGTTGTGTGACTCATATGCAGTGAATATCCCTGACATGCAAAATTAGACAGTCAAACATGTTTCATTTCACTTCACAGATTAGCAGAACAAGCTTGTTCTGCCTAATTTGCATGATATTATCACATGCTGTAATATATATCTTTAGCTTCACTGATTATACTTTCTGTCAGTTGCAGGTTTTTGTTTTTTCTGCAGTGGCTTTAAAATGCGTCAACTGATCGCATAAAAGTTTTTCTCTGAGATAGCAAGAGATGGAAATCACCACTTTTATTGTAGTAGTATTTTACATGTGTTTTAGTGTGCACTTTCCTGATCAGCAGCCACAGTGATTCTCATAGGGACTCATAGGTCGGTGCAGATAAATAATTAGCAGTGTCATTCAGTCATCTCAAAGCTCACTCCCTTTTGTCATTTTTGTCTTTATAACAGGACAAGAGAAAACACAGAGGTCCAAGCAACAAAATCACACCTAAGTCCAGAGAATTCATCGAAACCGATTCCTCTTCCTCCTCCTCTGAATGCCAGTCAGATTCAGAGGAAGCCATCAAAATCCCCACTCTGCCACCTCAGACAACACGCTCCGCTATTAACACACAGACTCTGTCCAACACACACATGCACACGCCTCTTCTCCCATGCCTCAGCTCTGCTGGGAGTGTGGGGACATTTGGAGGGAAGGGACTCCGAGTCAAAGATGGTAGCAATGTGACCACTAATGGTAGCAGCAGTAGTAATAGTAGCATCAGCAGTGGTAGTAATGGCAGCAGTAGTAGCTGTAACTCTCTAAGCATTAGCAACATAAGTGGTTCATTTGGCACTTCTGTTCCTGATCCTGGAGGGTTAGGAGGTCAGTGCAAAGACCCAGAGTCCCTCTCACCACCTTCCAGCATGGGTCACGAGGTGGCTCTGTCCCCCTTGCGGGAATACCAAGAGATCCAAAGTTTGTGGGTGAAAATCGACCTGAGTTTGCTCAGCAGGGTGCCTGGCCAGGGTTTGGGGGAAAGATCCAGAGTGGCAGAAAGGGACGGAAGTGAAGGGAGAGACAGAGAGAGACAGGGGGAGAGAGAGAGGATAGTGGTGGCTGAGAGAGAAAGACAGAAGCAGGCCGAGAGAGATTGGCCAGGGCTGAGAGAGAGGCAGAAGTTACCTAAAGGGGAGAAACAGGAAGAGGAAAATGAGCGATTAGTGCAGGACAGAGAGAGACAAGGTGACAGGGACAGATTAACAGAGAGAGAGAGGCAGATGGACAGAGAGGACAGAGAGAGATTGGGGCTTGGGGAGAGGGAAAGGACGACGGGGAGGGACAGAGAGAAGGTGTGCCAAGGTCTGGGGGTCCTTGACAACCCCCCTGTGCAAGAGCAGAGTAATCCCAGACTGGCAGGGAGGACGGAGAGAGGAGAGAGCGGAGGCAAACACAGGAGGCAGGCGGCTGGAAACATGGTGGTCCCGACAGAGAAACACACCAGCAAGAGCAAGAGGAAACACAAGGTGTGGCACTGCATTCTGTCTGTTTAAGTCTCTAACCATTCTCTCTTACTCCTACTCTCAACCTCCCAGTCTTTGTCACTCTCTCTCTCAAGTACAAATACTGTTCTTAGATATTGTGTGTTTTCTGTACTCTATAATCCAGTCGGACCACAGTGAGTCATCTGTCAATGGCAATAAAAAGCTGCGATTGGACAAAGACTGTCAGCTCCTCCCACCCTGCATCTCTCCAATACACAACCACAAGAACAGCTCTACAGGGTAAGTACTAATGTACATAACACACCCACCAGCTTAGCTCCCCAAAGGACTTAACAGTCAAACAAAACAATAACTTATGTTTGCATCACAATACAAAACACATCTTGTGAATCCTTGAGGCCTAGCAAGTCTGTTCAATGCATTTCCTTCCTCATAAAACATTTGCAAACTGTGGTTTTGGAATAAGTGTTTGCTTGCTAACAGTCGTCTTCTTCATTGCCTTTGTTGGCACATTGCTGCATTTCATATTAAATTACTCCACTGATTGACAGTTGACATGAAACATGAACATTCATAACATGAATCGGCATTATTGCTTCATCTGCTTGCATGAATGTTCATATACAAGAATCTACTCAAACAGGGACCCACTCAGCATGTTTTCAGGCCATGTTAGCCAATGCAGGGACAGGTATGCTCACTGTGAGTAGAGATTCACAAAGTACTCTACATTCCTATGAAAATGGCTGCATGTAGTGTTGGGCCAGTATTGAGTTTTGCCGGTCTGGTCCAGTGTATGAGCTCAAACCATCTGATTTTATACAAACAGGCTGAACCGTCATTTGTCATTATGACACTTTCTGGCAAATTAAAAAAGCAGCCTACATCAGCACCATGTGTCAATGGAGTAATGGCGCTAAATCCAACTGGTATTGCATTAGTAGTTAGCGATATGACAACGTGATTTACATAATATTATGTTGGTTTATAAATGGACTAAGGAGTCGCTACTGTCTCACTATCCGTGTGCAATTTCCTGCCAAGACAAGGCTAGCAACATGAAGAAGATAAAATTTCAGTAGGTGGGAGGAAGAAGACGCACACAGCACAGATTGTGTTTGTTTAATGGAAGGTTCATGTGTTTTTTGTAGCGACGAGACATGGCAGAGTTAGTCTTAAAGATAACTAAAACTGTACCAATATGGCAACACTTTGGATTTGAAGCTGATGAAAGAGGTGTACCAAAAACACAAATGTGGCAGTAGGTTTTTTAATGGGTTTTTGGTTAGATTCCTGAAGAAAGGTGGTCTGTGGTTAACACAAGCTTAGGAGACTTTCATGTTGTGTTCTACCACATAAAACATGTCACTAAATATCCCACTTAGAAATTTTGAAGCTTTTAAGTGTATTTAAAAAGACAGTTGCTGACATATAAGTCAGCCCTTATATCCCTTATAAGTCTATAGAACATTGTCACGCTGTACACGGCCTTGCACCCTTGTTCTGATGGCGATATTGAAGTCATGCCACCATGAAGTTGCTCGTTTATAGCCTAATGTTAGTTTTTCGCCTCTGGCCATTGCATTTAGACTTCAAAAATCATTAAAGTGGTGTTCATGTGTGAAGATTATCTTGCTGTACAAAACGTGTAAACATGTCAAATTCAATATAAAAATCCCCTTTTTGCGGGGGATACAGGGAGATGTTAACTTCCGGTCTGGCCACTATCTTTGCAGCACTTTAGCAGTTAGCAGACCAGCTTAGAGGTGCATTACCGCCACTAAGTGGATTGGAGTTGCTACACTTTTATTCATGGGCTTTCTCAGTCTCATTGTGTTCCCCTCGGGAGCAGATGCTGAGTACAGTATGATGCGTAGTGGTGAAATGTGGTATATTGGCCCAGTCCAGTGTTTGGCTGAGTATCAGACTAGTTTGAAACCCAACCCTGGCTGCATGACATGACACAGTATGAGAACTAAGTCATTTTTGTACACTGGAAATAGCTCATTTTTGCCTTTCCCCGTTCTTTCCGTAAACACCACATCCTCAGTGACTGGGACAGACACAAGTAGAGGTAATCAGACAAGTTTATTGAGTATTTTTAGGAAGGCTTAACATTTTTAATGTGTTGATGAAGTCACCGAAGAGGTGAGCTCAATCCACAGCGTGACACAGGAATGACAAACTGAATTTCAGCTTTCCATGTGAATTATTAAAAACAGACTAAGCTGGCTGTCACTATAAATAAGCCTCAACGTGACAGCTACAGAGGAAATATTTTTATAGCATCTCAGCGTTATCAAAGAGTGTACAGCTGGGAAAGGTACAAGGAAAAGAGGGGGTGACCTGGACTTGAACCCATGACATTGTGAAGCAGACGTCTAAGAGTGTCTGTGTATCATCTAAGAGGCTTTTTATGGAAGCTGTAAAGTGGATAATATGATCATCTTGCTCAGACCCATTCAGCAATTTCTGAACTGTGACTTTTGACAGTTATTATCACCCTGTTTTAATCAGAGAGGTTGTTAGACAACAGATGAATGGAAAAGATGTGTTAATAATCAAGTTTTTACCTCAGGAAAGTTTTGTTATGCCTGTGTTTGTTGAGCTTTTAAACACATGAAATTTCAATTAGGGCTATAAGTAGTCTTAAAGTTCAACTGAAATCTGAAGTCATCCCTTTGTGTGGTAAAAAAAAAATGTCCATGTGTTTTTTAAATGTATTATCGATAGTTTTATTATTATCAGAAAATATCTGAAATGCTCCCTGTCCTCTCAGCTGACTGGAGGGGCATGTCTCTGCTTTGATTAACAGCCACCTGCAGGCTGATAACGGGCAGGAGAAAGAGACGCAATGTAAACAAACTTTCTGTAGTTACGTGTCATTGGCAGATGGTGTGTTGTTGATGTTACTGAGGTGTTGAGACCACATCATTATGTAACTGAACCAAGATGACATTTGTCAAGTAAAGCCCTATTTGCACAGGATTAGTATTACCTGGGGACGTCTGGTAATTTGTAAATTATCCCCCCACGTCTGTGTTTCTTGCGGTGCATTCGCACGGGATAAGCGAAGTCTGTGTTTTACTAGAATTTACTGACATTACGGCCCGGATATGATGTCAAAGCTGTGCACATCGTAACATCCGCTGCTGAGTTGCCAACCGCCAATAAAATCTGAAGAAGAAAAAGACATCACTGTTAAACATACCATAAACCATAAACATCACTGTTAAAAGCTTATGTTAAACAACGCTTTTGTTAGGGTCTCGTTAGGTTTAGGCACAAAAACTACTTGGTTAGGTTTATGGAAAGCTTATGGTTTGTGTTAAAATGATCATTTTTAACGTGGTATGTGTTAGTCGTCATGGCAACAGTAAATAAAAAGTCAAAGCAGCAACAGGACTTCGGAACAGTGGGCAGTTGTTGTCGGGATAACGAGCCGTCAGGGCATTTGTATTAAACCTGTTGAAAGATAGAAAAATGTTCCATACCACATGCTGCTGCGCATGTCATCCATCTCAATATCTTCCGAAATTTCGCTCTTCTGATGGATCTGAGCTTGCTGTTTCTGCCAGTGGGTCTCCATACTGTGTACCGAGATGGAGAGACTCCTGCATTTGCACCTAAAATGCTGTCAAAACTGTCATTCATAATTTCCACCGCAGCGTCCATAATTCAACCAGGAAAGAGGTAGAAAAAAGGCGCGCAATAAAAACAAAAACTAAAATACCCCCCAATCACTGAGATGCAGATTCACACAGGACTAGTATTATCACGGTACGTCTGTTTTTGGCGAAATGTAGTAGGTAATTTACGGTGGAATTTTTACTTTACAAATTACAGACATGGCACATTCGCACGGGATTAAGATCACAGACATCCTCCGCAATTATTACAAATTACCAGAGGTCCCCAGGTAATACTAATCCCCATGCGAATAGGGCTTAAGTGTATAGGGAATGGAAATCGCAAAGCATTCTGATGTGGAGCCAGGAAGCTCCTTTTTTGGAAAGATAAGCATCTGTAGCTAAGGTAGCTGGTAGTCTTATTGTCTGTTATCTGTCAATCAGTCATCATCAGAAATGTAAAGGTAGATGCGAAAGACAGATACCCTTAGAAGCTCTCAACAGAAGCAAAGGAGGAAAATATTTCAAAGTTAAGTGAGTTAAAGATATCAATCCCTACAGACTTTGACAGCTTGCCACTCATTACCATTATGGCCCCTGATGTCTACCTGGTGTTTGGCGTTAGCGCCTACACCTGACAGGAATTCAAAAACTTTAAATTATGTAAGGCCCATGTCCAGTTTACAAACAGATGGGTACAGGACTGGACAACGATAATATAACCAACGTTATGCTAACTGTATGCTAACAAAATGTAGGCTAATCATCATAGACTGTAAAAATAATGGACTTAGCCACCGTGACATCACCTATTGGTGAAGCCTTGAGTTCTGCATTTTGGCCGCTGCCATCTTTGTTTTTGGAGGCAGAAGTGACCAGGGTAGAGTTGTGGAGGAGCAAGAGGTAGATCTGACTGAGGAGCCGAGGACACTGTCAGCAGACAGCATAAGTTAAGACCTTACTAAAATGTAAACGGCTGAGTTATATAAGAATTCACTTCCATACAGTTGTCATGAATGTTTCTTGAACCAGGCTGTAAAAATGTTTATTTCTGCCTTTAAATTGGGCATTTTAAGGTGGTGGTCTGTGAGGACTGACTGATTTCTGGAGACAGCCTCAAGTGGCCATTCAAAGAGCTGCAGTTTTTGGCACTTCCATGTTTTTCAGTCCCAGTGGTTGCCGCTTGTCAATTATGCATAATTATTCCACCTGTATACAACAAATTGAAACACATAGGTCAGCCTACCTTTGTGTCTGACTGTATATATTGTAGATATACCACATTTGATGTTGTGAATTTTATTCACTGAGTAGTGTTTTGTGTTAGCTCAGCAGTTATTTCGACACATACAGTAAACAGATGGCACTCTTACCTTTATTCTTCCAAAATGGCTGACTGGCTGTTGATGATGAACCACTTCCTATATGCTGGTTAATGTGCTGCAGCTAACTAGGTAATTAGCAGTTCACTTTTCCCAGGTGAATGCTTGTGTGGTGGCTAATTCAACAAGCTAAGGTGCAGGACAAGATGTGTGTTCATGATTCTAAGTTAGATAAGAAGGAGACTTAAACAGGAGAGCTAAGGTAGGTTGTTGTTCAGAGTCTGTGGCTCTCGTGTAATGTGAAACTTGTAACTTGTATGGTAACAAATTCTCAGGCTAATGTTCCTTCTACAAATTAATTCAAAGATAAGGGTGCCATCAGAAGAAAAAAACATGTCTCTTTTGGTTTTTAACATTTTTTCAAAGGAGACCAAAGGAAGAGTGATGTACAGAGCAGATATGTACACTGTAGCAGACCAAAAAAAAAACAAAAAACAACAATTTAATTTCAGTTGGACTTGGAGCCAAAAATCTGACCACCTGGCCAAGTAGCTGTTGAGTCATTGTAAATGTATTCCAGAGGAATATTTGGCAGATATACTGTGGTCATTTTGTGTGATGGGGCTGTAAATTTCTTAACTTATTATCCCTTTAAAAGAGCTCTCACATGCTCTCCTGCACACACACCGGCATCCACTTAAGGATAGACACACAAATGCACACAAATTAGCATAGTCATGCACACAAACACGCTTGCACACATCAGTAATGCTGTACACAGACACAAAAGCACACACACACATAACTCACATATTCACACATGCACACACAGCAGCTAATTAGTCTTTGTCTCCCTGGTTTTGTATATTATCACTAATGTCGGGGCCTGGGGCGTTGTTCTGCGAGCTCAGCAACTTTTCTCGCTGCATCAAACCCCCAGAGTTTCCAGGCAGAGGAAAAACATAAAAATATTATCTGTTGTGTAGCAAACAATATGAGTCACAAGAGCAACAGTAAGGCAGCTGAGGGAATAATCGTCGATGCTCCAGCAGGGAAGGCAGAATTACAACAATTTTAGAAGGAAAATATCATTCAGCAACTGCAAATGAAGTCGCAACAAGATAGTTAGACATTGTTATCCCAGAAGCAGGGTTTTACATGCTGGATGTTTGTGTCTTAGGATATACTGTGAAGACAGACAGAATAAACTCAAGCCAAGTCTATTGATTTGCATAGCCCAAAATCATGTGTCAGTGTTACCCAAAAGATCACCCAGTCCAGGATCTCTATAACAACATACTTTAAGAGGGAAACAGAGTGGAACAAACACTGGGAGAAAATTCAAAGTAAGAGCCGCTCTTCAAAGGTTTGTGGGTATAAATGAGGCTCTTGATGAGAAAAACAAATTGAAAGCAATAACAATAATAGAAATACAGCATGGCCTGCTAATCAGAGGGAGAGTAGTCAGGTCAGGCCTTCGCCACCCTGGGAAAATAAAATTTCTTAATGCAAGAGGGGTGACTACGTTATTTTCTGGCACGTGAAGCTTGTGCCGGGGACACTATGATGAGTATAAACCTAGTTTTAGAGTTTGGTTGGAGGGTGAAGAGACTGGCAGGATCTGTTAAGGGGTCGTAGTATGCAGGTTGAAAAATGAAGTGAGGCCTGCTCTTTACAAAAAGAGCAAACAGCTACACAGCAGGACCCTCACATTCACTCTGTATCTTAGGAGAAAGCAAAAACATTTTCAGGAGGACTCAAGCAAAAGAATACCAAACTACAAAAAAAAATGGAATGCTGAACACAAAGTTATTAAACTTTGTGTTCAGCATTCCATACGTATCGATAAATCAACATTTTGACAGCACTACCACTGATGCACATAGCTTGTTGGCTTTGGTACTGAATGTAACTTTTTCTTTCATCATTGAACATTTTCTACTTGTGCTCAATAGTTCAAGGCTGCAATACACTTGAAGAGTGAGTGAATGTTCTCTGAAGATCCAGAGATATAGAAAGTAGATGTAGTTTTTGCACAATTTGAAAACTACCCAAGCTGTTAAGTGCAGTCATTTTCCGAGACTGACGGCAGGTGAAATCTGATTCCAGCAGATTCCCCAAAGCATATGTAGTTGTATTTGCTGAGAGGACTGGGGTAGCACCATAAAGGATAAACATTATACCAATAATAAACAGGCCTTTTATATTATATTAGTTGGTTTATGATACATTTATGATGAGGCACCTTAAGGTTTCAGTGGCTTTGATATTAGTGGTTATTTAAGATTTTGCAGTCCTCTGACAAGGTTTTATAAGTCATGATTGATAATTTGTCAGTTATAGTTTGTTGGCAGTGATGATTATTTCCCCTTGTTGTCAAGATTATTTATGATGCTTCAATTGGAGAAGTTTGAACACATTAAACTTTTGACACATTTAGTAGTAGGAAAAAAATCATATTGTTTCTTCCAACTGCGTTATTACATATGATCTGAAAAACAAACAGTATTAGCAGTCAGTGGGAGTCGCAGCACTGCCTCACACCTCTCATCCTCACTTGCCACTAAGCAGTAGAAGGTGTTAATTGAAACAAGAATCACACTTAAGCAATAGCCACAAGTTAGCTAACTGATTAGAGCACATATCCTAAAAAGATTAGGGAAAAAGATAACATTCATATACGATAAATGAATGAATAATAACACTGCTTTGTTTTGTGTGTTTTGTGTGTGTGTGTGCGTGTGTGTGTGCGTGTGTGTGTGTGTGTGTGTGTTCAGTAGCTCTCTAAACAGGAAGCAGTCTCGACGGCGCGATGACAAGCTGCTCCCTCCCCTCCTGTCCCCGCTCTCTGACGACCCCCCTCGTAAACGAACCTGCGACAGCAGTTCCTCTCTCAGCCAGGAGGGCAGCGCTGCTGGGAGGCTGCCCTGCTCCACCTCTTCTACTTCCACTTCCTCCCACAGACACAGGAGAGGCGAAGGCAAGGCGTCATCACATGCGAGAAATGGCAGTGTAAGTCAAAAATACTATTTTTGTTTGAGAGAGAGGCACAGTGGTGGGTTTACACTCTAAATGATGATAAGTTGGACCTTAAGATAATTCATGTATCCTAGGTAGATTATTGGGCGTGGTGCTTCATTGTCCACACTTTGGCACACACTGTGTTGGAGTGATAGTAGACTGGTGCCATTATCTTCTTGCAAAATTGAGTTTCTCACCTGACACTGACACCGTTCCAAAAATAACTCTGGAGTTAATGGCATGCCATGCTTAAAAGGCATGAATCTACAGCATGACACATATTTCCACCCATGTGAGTCATATTTCCTTACCTGCAGTTTCAGGAGCCAAAGTCATTAAAAATATCTGTTTTGTTCAGTGGTGGAAAACGTATTCAGATCTTTTACTTAAGTAATAGTAGTAATACTACAGTGTAAAACATTGTGTTACAAGTAATGACAATGCATTCCAATTTTTACTCAAGTCAAATACATAAGTATTTGTATCAAAATATACTTAGAGTCCCGAAAGTAAAATTACTCATTATGCAGAATGGCCCATTTCAGAATCATATATGTATTTATTACTGGATTATAATTAGTGATGCATTTCTGTGTTCATCATTTTAATGTTGCAACTGGTAATTTTAATTAACGAATATGCTGCTGGGTGGCTTAACCTATAATAATAATACATCATACTTTGTAGTAACTAACACTGTCAAATAAAAGAAGTGGAGTAAAAAGCGCAATATCCACCTCTGTAGTGGTAGACGTATAAAGTAGCACAAAATGTGCATACTATGCCTGTAAGTACAGTATTTGATTAATTAACTGGTTTTGTGGTACGTAGCAGGTAATGCATCAAAAACAACAGGACAGATACATAAAGCAGTACATATCAAAAAGAGCAGCACCCAGGAAACTACTACATGTAGAAGTATTTAACAAATTACATGAATACATTTAAAGAAACTTTGCTGCACGTCATTTCCTCTCTGTCCCCTGCCTTTTCTGTCTCTCTTACTATTAAAAGAAAATCTAAAAAAAAAAAGAAAATAAAAGAAAAATTCATTTAACTAAACTGTGCGTAATTTCTATTTGAAGTATAAGAAGATTTTGCTCCCTTTTTGAAGTGAAACTGTAAAAATGTAAATGTTAGCTTTGTCATATGGATATACTACAAAGTGAATTTATAAGCAAAACATACATATGGCAAAAATAACTTTAGGACAATTTCACATTGAGACAGTTGTATCAGTTTAACCACATCTCTTAACTTTTAATCCCTACTCATAACAGTGATGGCAAGACTACTAATTCTACTAATTTAAGCTGCACATTGTAATACTAATTAATACTATTATAATGGATAGATGGATTCATGATTTTATTTCTGCTACAGGAAGTTGATACCCACGTGGAGAAGCCCAGCGGAGACAGTTACCATGCCAATGGACAGTCAGACTCTGAGGTGTGGTCAGAGCCACAGGTGGAAGCTGCTGAACCTCGCAGGCCAAGACTGTCGTTTAGCGACACGTATGTAGAAAAACCATGCCATTATACCATGCACACCAATATTTATACTTACACACATTAGTTGTGGTTTTACTGCAATAGATTCTTTGATAATGCTTGATCTCATTGTGAAGTCCTTTAGCAGCATGATTTATCATAGATGCTTACCCTAATCATCACTGTGGTTCATGAGACCTAGCAATCTGTATGGTGCTCTCTACATTCTTATATAAATAATCCTTTTTTTCTGAGTTAGGGGACAGCAGGTGTCTCTTTTTTATATAGAAGTGTATCTTGATTATTCCACTGTATGAAAGTTATGTTTTTTTGTTTTTGCATCAGAAGCTTTGTTATTTAATTATACTGTTTAAGTTTTCTCTCTGAGCTGTGATACATTCAATTAAGACGAAGCAGAGACTTCTTTATTCAACAACAGTATAATCATTGTAAACTTAAAGGTGCTGTATATAACTCTGGAATAAGATAATTGATTGTTGAGTTTCATTCCCAGGTTTTCAAATACTGACAACATCACTACCAATCCAAAGCGTTGCGACTCAGCAATCAACTATCTTTCTCCAGAGGTATATACAGCACCTTTAAGTGTCAGACGGGTTGCTTTATGGCACAAAGGGATATTCTTTTATGGCACGAAACAGAAGATGGGCGCTGCTCCTCCCATGTAAACACTTAAAACTCAAAAATGTCTGGCAGATGGGGAGTGAGGGAAAACCTTGACAGCTCCGGTACTAGCAATACCACTGGAATGAGATAGTGGCTGTTAATTATCTCCATCATGATCTTATGGTTATAGTAATGCATTCTAGAGGTCTTTGCTGATCCACAGTTTTGTAGCAGATCCAAAAGAGACAAAGACATGCTATTAGGGCTGTACCGAATGTCTTTTTTTCTGATCTGAAGCTTCTGTTGAGGTCTTTGAATGATGCTTCAGATGTTTGTCATTATATTTTAATTAACTTAAAAAGATATTTAAAATCCTCAAACAAAATGCTCAATTTAATGAAATGCTTAGTCAGATTAATCATTTGTCAGCTGTGCACTTGAGATCAGACTGAAGACATAAGCAAGTAAAAGATGGGCCTGTAGCCTACTTGCGATTTGAGTGGACAATATCGCGATTGTGATTATAGTATAATACATAAATGGTATCATGGGTCTTCTTGCTTGATTCAGTGTTTCCCCTACCATTATCTTAGTTATTGTTATGGACAGTGTGTAAATGACCATCAACAGACTGCGCACAGTCAAACACGCTGCTCGCACAGCAGCGCCACACAGCACTGTACACACAGCAGAGCGGAGCCTGTGTTGCATTCAGGCGTTGTCACGTAAATGACAAATTCCAGCACATGAATATGCCATAGCACAACACAGCAGCATGTCAAGTGGGCCAAACCCAAGCAAAATTTTGCTCAATTTTTCATTTGTTATTATGTAGTTTGTTACAGAGTCCATGATTTCCCTGTGACACTTACAGATGTTTGTGTAACTGTGTTTGGATGTTGTTTTATGAGGCTCTGGCGGCTTTCAGTTGTGTCTTTTTCTTTAACATTACTTGGCTTGACTTTCTCTCGCATGCATTCATCCTACTTTTCCCTGTGCTGTCTCAAGTGCTGATATAGATTGGTCGTGTTGCCGCGGGACGTAGCGACTTTAACTTTTAAAGTTTCACACAGCACGTCTTTCTGTTCAACGTCGCTGTACCTGAATCCAAAGTATCGCCATATAATAGAAGTTGCGTTTCTTTTGCGACCAACTCAGCCTGTTTTTGGTCATGCTCATGCTCTTCTTCAGTGTCTATGTTGGTCACTGCTGCACGCCGGGTGGTCGCGTGACCATACGTGCTGCACGCACCAGGATAGCTTGTGGGCGTGATGTCAACAAACTCCACACACTACAGAAGAAGTAGTCACATTCACAGGCACACACGTTAACATTAATTTACATTAAATCACAAATCGCAGCCTTTTATGCGGTTATGTAATCGCACAGCCTGACATCGCGATTACAACTGCGATTAGATTAATTGTGCAGCAGTAATTTGTATGTGTATATTTGCAGAAATATATCGACTGTAATTGTATAGCACTCCTCTAGTCTTCAAACCACGCAAAGTGGTTTTTACTCTACATGTCACATTCACCCATTCACAAACATTCACACACTGGTAGGTGAGGTTACCATACACCTGCCACTTAGTAACCATTTACATGACAACCCGCCTTACCTTGTTAGCCACAGCCGCCCCAGCAAGTAGGCTATTAGTGATGACCAGAAACTTTAAGCTTCCAGGTGATCACCCTCCAGCCAGTTGCCACTTTATTTAGGTTTTTGTAGTGTAGTTTCAGCAGTTTCACAGATCAGCCATTCCTCATGCCTGGTGTCCCTTTTAAAGCAAGTGAAGTGACAAAATAGAAAGAGGGCTTCCAACAGAGGTTCAGCTCAGAAGGATTCACTGCACAGCACTGCGTCCCTCGGGGACAGTTAGGACATTCCAATAGAAAACAATGGAGTCAAACAGTTTGACGGGTTGCTCAAGTTACATTCAACTCTCCAGCTGTGCAAAAATATCAGGTTGAAACAGAATGAATAGACATGCAAATAAAAAAAAAAAAATCTTTTGGAGAATTTGAATGTTAAAGTTAAGAATGAAGCATCAAAGCTTCAATACAGCCTTACACATGACCCGAAAGGGACCAGAGGATAATTAGATCTGATCAAAAATTCTCTCGAAATCAACAGACCCTGTTAGAGAGAGGGAACACTGACACTAATAGCTGCATGATGCTCCACCAATTAACAAGCTGTTCAAAACAATAGCAATACATGTTATTCTCCACACAACTTTATAAATCACACTTTACCTCTGCAACTACTTCAGACTGCTGCTGCAAATGTGGTGTGAAACCTCCCCAAGTTTTCCTACGCCACTCACCTTCTCCTCATCTTTCCTGTGATGATAATGACACACTGTGTATTCAGAACTGATGGCAGGTCCTCTTAGATCCACTTGAATATTAGACATATTGACCCAAAGACCTGAGACTTGATGCAATAGAAAAGGACCCCACCTAACCAGATCAGACTGTTTATATTTTGGACCCAGCCTGACTAAACAGAGTGGACCACTAAGACTTTGAATGCATTGTCAACTCTAAACTTAACACATCTTATATTTTAGGAAGGATAGCTATCATCATGCTGTGCATTAAATGTTATAAAACAACACACTAATAGGCCAAATAGTGGCATGTTAGTGTGTTGCAGGTGGGGGAAATATCTCTAAGTACCTCAGCACTGGTCCAGTTGTGTTGAAACCTGGAAAGATGATACATCTTGTTACTTATTTGTCCCAAAGGGTTCCTGCATTATTCATGAAACAACATGTTTTGTTGTTATACTAAGGTTACACTAAGCCTGAGGTATGTATACCTAAGCAGGCTACTGTATATAACTCACTGCAAGCTACTCTTAGCTACTGATTATGTAAATCACTCTGCAGGGGGTTGTTTTATTTTTTCTTCAGTTTTTGTTAAACGACGTGTCAGTGCAGACATGCTGTTTATGCTCTTTTTCACTGTGCTGTTCCCAGAGTCCACAGTGCAGACTACTACATGCAGGAGGCCAAGAGACTGAAGCACAAGGCTGATGCTTTGGTAAGATGTTGTCTTCCACAAATCTTTCTGCTGTCAGACACACACATTTACACCTTCAGCACATACAGGAGGCAAAGAAAAGACAGACACACAGATAGCAAGAAAATGATTTGAAAACACACAATGTTAACATCTACAGTCTAGTCTGTAATTATGTGTGTACTCGTTCAAATGGGTGTGTCGTCGCTCATGTGTACGCACAGCGAGTCTCCAAAGAATGAAAATCTATTTCATATCAAGCGCTGTACTGTATAATTTGTGTTATTTATTGCACCATTTGTCTCCAAGGGAACATTGCATTCAAGGACTGATGATGTCTGCAAGATTATACAATATCAAAAGAATTATCTGATCCCCTCCCGAACAATGAAATGAGATTTATTTAACTTGTTATTTATCTTATGTTTACGCGTTGTTCCCTCACATTTATCTGGGGATTTGCATCTTAGCAGGAGATTATTCAAAGAGACGACTGTGCGTCTGCCACAATGCTGTTAAGACATTGCTTATTCTGTCTCTGTCTTATTCATGTCTGCTTCTCTCTCTGTCTCCACTCTGCTACATTTCTTTTCATATTGCTCATTGTCAGATATCTGCTTTTTCTCTGTCACTCATTTTTCTGTATTTTTTTTTGTTCTTCCTCCTTATCTGTAGATGGACAAATTTGGTAAAGCGGTGAACTACGCAGATGGTGCCCTCTCATTCATAGAGTGTGGAAATGCTATGGAGCGAGATCCACTAGAGGCCAAATCACCATATACCATGTACTCTGAGACCGTGGAGCTAATCAGGTACTGTATGGATGGACAGACAGAAAAGTGACATCAAGTGAAATGTAAAAAAAAAAAAAACCAGGAGGACTTCGTTAACATGTCATTTCACAATTGATCATGGGAAATGGTGATGCTCCCAACATTTTTTTTCTCTCCTCCACTCCAATTTGTGCACGTCTGAAGGAAGATAAGACTAGGTCAAAACCTAGTGTATGACTGGACCATGTATGAAATGCTACAGGGCTTTAAATTTTAAACAGGATATGGAGGGCACATACCAAGACACAGACTTTTGTTAGCCTTGACTTTGGTTTTCAGCGCTCGCCCCATTGTTGTGGGCCAGCCATTTGAGCAGTCATCGGCCACCAACATCAAAGTTCCACAGATAACGATAGTTTATAAAAGGCCCTGTCAGCGCTGATTACCGAAAGAAGAATTTTTTCATTGTGTCAGCATTCAGCAACCACTCTGACTTTTTAACATGTAATATTCACTCCAGTTTCTATCACTGTTTTTTTCAGCTTCTCCTCATGACAGTGGCAGCACACATTCTAACCATTGATGGTTCTGACATTGTAACATGACAAAATTTAAAAATGTTTAAACAAATTTTTGTGTCATACAGACACGGCTGTTCCTCCAAAAAAAAAATGATAATGGGATTCTCTCTTTGCTCTATCCAAAATTGCCATTTCGCCTGTGGCTGGCTAGTTAGCTAGCTAGCTCATTCCACATGCTTTAATGCTAACGTCATAGTAGTAACAGAGGATGAGCCAAACACAGTTGTCACTTGTCTGTTGATAGCAAAGTGCTGTGACAAGAGTGTGTGGATGAAGCATGAAGTTGTTAAATTTTACTTATGTCACGGCTAGCCAGTTAGCTATCTAGCTTGCTAATTCCACCATACTGTCATGCCACACTATTTACAGAAAAGGATGAGGAAAACAGTGATACAGGACTGTAAGCGCCTATTTATTTCAAAACAGTAACGGCCAGTGGGGAAACACCAAAATTCACATCATCAGTTAGTCTGACCAATGATGTAACTTCATCACTCAGTCACTCACGGACAAACTGTCACGGTTATAGGGCAGGCCTCGCCTCTGCAGTCTATAGCCAAAAATAACACTTCAAAAATGATAGGGCGTAGGTTACTGATAGCCTACAGCTGCTCGCTGAGATATTGTGGCAACTGTCGGAGAACCAACAGAAACTTCTGAAAGTCAACATTTTTCCTTTTCTGTAAGCTGTGTAAACAATGAACCTGACGTTGACAGAAAATCTACATTTTGTAGGCTACGTTAGTGAAGTAAAAGTGAAAGCTGTTGTAAAGTACCCTTTGGCCATCTAGCGGACTTATGTTGTTGTTTTTGTGTAACACAGTTTGTTCACAATTGAGTGGTGAAAAAAGTTATTGTGCACATTTTGATAAATTTGACCATATGGCATTAGTGTGGTACATTCCCAAAAAATATGGCAATTATGTCACACTTGAAAGCATGTAGTCTATCTTTTAAAGAAGTATTTGAAAATGTGAATGACAGCTGACGGGGCATAAAACCAATGATCTGATGATCTTTATAAATGAAGACTAGTCTAACAATGGCACAGCCTGTAGTGGAAAAATGTTTAAACTGAAAATCGAATGGTGACACCCCTAACAAGAATGCATGGTATTCAGAGCAGCAGTGATTAATGATAATGTCAACTTATGTGGACTGTAGACTTTTGCTAATGAGGCACTATATGCGCCTGGACTGAACTCAGCTCCCTGTTGTCAGGGCTCTAGCTGACAGGACGAAACTCGCTTGTGTCCATTTGAGTTTTTCATTTAACGACAACCAAAAACTCCTGAAGCACCTCTCAAATTATGTTGCATGCTACACTGATATTGGTGCAGCTCTCTCAGCACCCTTATTTCCTGCTCCCTTGTGTAGCGTTACCTCCTTTATCCAAAGAGACGTTTTGGTTTAGTTGGTCAGTTGAAGAGGGGAAAAATATAATTTTGTAAAAACAGAAAAAATGTGTCTGTATAGCAGTAAATTGCAAGCAGGCAATAAAGTCAACAAAAGTGTACAAGGACCTTAATTTAATATTTAAGGTTGTTTAAATTGATCACTGTCATTTTTAGTCATAAAAAATAGCAATTATTTCAAGGGAAATTCTCTGGAAATCAACAACTGCTCATTTACTCTACCCAGCCATGTAGCGATTATATAGCCCACTGTAATTCCCTGATTCTCTACTAAAAACCCAAATAGATGAGTGGGTACTTACCGTGTGCACTGTCTCGGCACATTTCCCTATAATTGCTTCCAAATTATATTGTTTCAGGATTCATATGTAGAAAATTACACCTCTCTCATCATCCTAACCTTACTGACCTGTTGTAGATTTAGCCTATTAGCTGAAATAATATTGTGCGGTTGCATATGTTCACCTCTCTGCCCACAGAAAACGGCTAATCAAAACTTGAGTTTTGGAATAAACTCTAATTAGCATGAAGCCAGCGCTCTGTTCAGAATCCTCTGGACTCTTCAGCATTGTGTTTTTTAATCTTTGTTGTCTGAAGCGTCTCAGACCTGCGGGGCTGCTAATGAGCATAGTTGAACCAGTGTTGCATTACAGGATCTCTGCTGTTTTTCAGCCTCTCAGAGCTGCCTTTGTATGAAGTCACTAAGTGCGACTTTTAAGAGAGCAAACTGAGAATAACAAATGACTGCCTCCTTTGAAAGCAGGCAGGTTGACAGCTGGGTGCTGTAGTGGGAGAGAGTCTTTTAACTGAAGGACTCAGGTTCAAGCCCTGCTTGTCTGCACTCATCCATCCTGCTGAAGTGTCCTTGAGCAAGATGCTGAATCGTCACCAGCTGCAGGGCTGTTGATCTGTAACTCTGGCCTTTGACCTCCCTAAGGAGGGAGCAGGAGAAAGGACAAGAGTTTTCCACCAGGGATCAATGAAGTATAAAGGTGTTACTGCTCTCCCCTGATTCACCTGTCACTGCTGAATTTCACTTTGACTGATTAACCACCTCGCTAAGCAATCAGACCGGGTCAGTGAGGGCAGGAGGCAACAGCTGACCCCTACAGCATTTTTTGAAATACTTAATCAGAAACCAAAGGATATGTTTCTCCTTCCACAGAGTCAAATAAAGCTGACCTGTAGCTTGTCCTGCCTAAGGGCACTTGAGCAGGTGGATGCAGGCTGTCAGTGAGCTGAAGAAATTAATCACTAACTGCCACTGTTTTATATTCTCTATGTTCAGAAAGAGCAGCTCCTTCAATGATTTTAACCTTGATTTCCTAATGAAAATGAACATTGAGTATACATGTATTCATTAATGTGAGAAGAGTAAAGTGTGTTTACATTTCACACACATAAATCAGTGTAAATGTCAGCAGATGAGTAAAGAGCATCTCTCCCTTGCAGGTATGCCATGAGGTTGAAGAATTTCGCCAGCCATTCAGCCACCATCGCTGAGAAGAAACTAGCTGTGTTGTGGTAAGATTCTGTGTGTGTGTGTGTGTGTGTGTGTGTGCGTGCGCGCGCGCAAAATACAAAATACTGTGGTCATAAGATACCCAAGTTTTAGATCTTTTTTTTTTTCTTTTTTTTTTTTTTTTATTCAGCTAGTAAGTTGACTGTTAAATGATATTGTTGGTGGATTGTCCTGGTTGCCTGTGGGTTTAGGATGTTAACCATGCCGTTGCAATGTGTTTCTAAGTGCTGCATTCTCAACACTGGCAGCCAAATTCTGGGAGAAAAATACCTTTTTTTTTACTAACTTGTGACTCATAAATGTATACAAATTTTAGTGTTTAGGGCCTGATGCAAAAATATTTTCGCATTATATCTGAAATTTACTCATATGAGTGTTACAAGTTAAATTCAGAAAACCCGTAGAACTGCACAAATTTATCTTAAATTTCCCTTTTCAACCTGATGAATTCCACCTGTACAGGGATAGCTGCGCTTTTATGAAATGTGATCATTGGCATGATCAACCCAGCCAAACTGATGTAGAAGACTCCATGTTTCATTCACAAAAATATAATCCAAGAGTATTAATAAGATTTTAACCAAGTGACAACTTCTGGGGCTGAAAAATGAAGCCAACATGGAAGTGCCAAAAACTGCAGTTCCTCTAATGACCACTTGAGGCTGGCTCTTAGAGCAAGTCAGTCCCCATAGACCGCCATAATAATTAAGGGTGTGGCTGGTTGGGTAACATAACCATGGCGTAACCCAAGATTCACTGTGTATAGGTGTAGCCATAGCTGTCGCTATTTCAGTGTGTTTTCACTTTCTTGAGAGTTTATTGGAATGTTTTGATTGACTAAAAGAAGTCTTGTTCAGTGTTGGGTTGTACTTAAAGACTTTCTAAGGAGTCAGATAATATGTTTTTCCAGTGAGTACATTTTGTTTTATTGGTTTTAAGCCTGTTTTTTCTAGTGAAAATTAGCGTTAGCATTATCATGGTTAACCATAGTTGTAAATGCACTGTGCTAACCAAGCTAGCGTCAGGGTTATAAATATGGTCACTTCTGGCTCCAAAATCCAATATGGTGATGGCCAAAATGCAAAACTCAAGGCTTCAAAACAGGATTCCACGAACGTGACGTCACAGTGGCTACTTCCAATTATTTTGTACTGTCTATGATTTTAACAAAGCTAAGCTTCAATTTCCGCTGTCTGAAATCAGCAGATAAAATTCCCCATTAATGCAGCAGAGTTAGTAAGTTAGTAGTACTACAGGACCTGAAACATTATATTAATACAGCTGCCAGCAACCTGCCATCAGGGCAGCGCTGCACTGTGACTATAGAGGGAATGGTTTGAAGTTGGATGTGAAAAATTATTTTTCAAATGCAAAGCAGTCTATGCCTTAGATGGCAGGTCAGGATCTGGCAGTCACAGTGATGGTCAAGAGAACAATATAGGCTCTCTGTGAGTGATGGTACACTGATGGGCGCAACGACCTTACAGCAAGGATGGTGGCAGGTGACTTAATGCAGGTGTACGACCTGCATAAAGGCTGTGAGGCAGATGACTGAGTGGGATAACTCCTATAGGCACTATAATTATTATCAAAAACTCAGACCAGTGTTTCTCCCCTGTGGAGATAATCTCTATGTAATTTGTATAACAGTAATGCACCACTTGTGAATTTCAGTTGTACCTAGAGATATCCGCACCCAAAAAAAATTGGGGAATGCCACGAATTGTCTTAAATCGGCCGTTCATGCTAATCAAGAACCACTTTGTCCGTACAAGAGGTTTCAGCATGAGGCCCACTGAATCTGAACATACAGGCCTATAAAATACTCACCATGTGTAAGTTTTAGATCCTACAGTTAAAACTTACACATTTTGATAGAATGTAAAACTCTGCTAAAACTCTCAAACCTCAGTCTTTTCTGAATTGTCACTCACAGTGCTCCAAAAACATTTTAGGGTGCTCTGCTTGTGAATAGTAAATTAATTTGCATGATGTGGATCTTTATATTATCATATACTAGTATTATACATTTCCCACATGCCTTACTCCACTAAAGTTCTCCCTAATACCTGCAGACTTGTGGGGCATGTTTGAAGTCCGGGTGCATTTTGTGTGGATGACATGAAAATAATATTGAGGATGGGGCTTTAAAAGGGAATTTGTACAGAGGACTCATCTGCCTTCTAATGGTTTTGTTTCCATAGTAACCGCTGTCTGTCTCTGCTGTATCTGAGGATGTTCCATTTGAAGAAAGACCACGCTGTCAAGTACTCGCGGTCGCTCATGGAGTACTTCAAGGTAACACACACACAGATTACACACACACACACATTTGGACATGGACTTTATTTCCTGTCTCTCTCGTTTTCTCCCTCTGTGGCTGAAAAACATGGAAAGCCAATTACAATCCCTCAAATACATTTCATATTCATTTTCATGGTGCCTGTGCATTAATTTTGCATGACGTTATTAAAATCCATTCTTTCTCTTTGATATTAATGTACTAATTAGCTCCATCAATCATCACAGTGGATTGTTAGGGTTTAATGTGCTTGTTTTGATTAATTATGTTTAGTTTAATTAATTACTGAGGATGTCATTATCACAGTGCCGCATTTGCATTGATGGGATTGGATTCCTGGGAAGGGACTGACTGGGGGTTTAGCTGTGTATGTGTGCGCAGGCTGTGTACATACAGTATGTGTTGACTGAAGGAAAAAAAATAACTGAAAGGAGTCAGAGCAGTTCATTTTAAAAGAGAAATGGCACAAAAACAGTTCTGTAATATACTTATCCTCATGTGTCCATCAAGTGTCATAGAGTAACATTACACATGACAAAAATTACACATACTGTACGGGAAAATTGGTGGCTTAGTGAGATTTGGCTCATGTTATATTAACATTAACATTTTAGCCATTTAGCTGCTACTTTTTTCGACGCTTTTTTCTGTACCAAAGATTAAATGAAGGTTTTACAGTATGTTTTTATGGAAAAGATTGGAAAGAGATATTAATCGCTGAATATTAAAGGTTCCCTCCATTAAAAGAAAATCGTTTTTCTTTTGTTTATGTTCCCTAAAATATCTAATCTTGATTATACTGACTTGTATCTGTGCAAAGATGTGTTGACACATTACTCTATTGAAGGGGGCAATATCTGTACACTTCTCTAAAATCTGAGATTCAAACGTTCACCGCACAAGCAAGTTTTGGTACATCATACAAAAACCAGTAGGGTGGTGCAGGAATCAGTCCTAAAACCTGGAAATTATTTAGCGTCTTAGCTCTTTGGTTCCCCCGTGTTGAAGTCCATGGGTTTTTATTAATAGGTTTCTTATTAGATGCCTGAAATAAGATCTGTGGTGAACACAAGCTGAAGAGACTTAAATGTTTTATTCTACGACATAAATTATGTCAGTAAATAACGGATTGGCTCACACAGTTGTCAATCATGTCATAAAATACCCATTTCATAGCATTAAATAACTAATTAAAACCAAACTTATCAGAAAAGGAAACACTTGAACAAACAGCAGCATGATAGAAACTACCGCAAATGACATAAAGCATCCCAAGGGAAAATGCAGATCAAATACATTTTCCCAAGGGAAAATGTATTTGATCTGCACTCTGAGTTTTAAGTTTGTCCGATGTCCCATCCACTAACATAGAGGGGTTGGGCTTAATGACGTATTCAGCAGCCAGCCACCAGGGGGAGATCAAGTTGCTTCTGCTTTACTTTTGGGGGATGTCATGTTGTCCATCTTTATATACAGTCTGTGTTCCAATACAAGACACATCAACGGGGGAACACTCTTAAACACAACACCGGCAAAGAAACCTGAAACCTCCAGTGCAGAGCGCTTTAAACTGTGTCAGCAAAGAAGCTTAAAAAAAAAACAAAAAAACATCATAAATGAAATGATATGTCTGCTAGTTCCTGTGCTTTTGGTGCACTACAGAGGTCTCATCTGAGTCTGGGTCTGACTGAGGCTCCAACTTGTACGGCTGAATCTCTAATGTTTCCTCTAACGCTAATGCTACCCATCTGGATGTGCACTGCTGCACTGCTACTAACTATTATGGGGGGAAAACAATGTTTTACAAAATATTAGTATACACACTTTAGAACGTGTCTGGAGAGCAACTTTAACTAAACTAAAACATGATTTGAGGATAATAATTATTTCAAAATTAATTTGTTTGTTGATCTTTATACTTTGGTTTATCACTTAGTAAATAGCTGATTGCAAAGAGTCTTTTGGATAAGTCTGGCGCATTTACAGCACTGTTTGAGTGTGTGCTGACTCAGGTAAGCCAATGAAAAAAATAGAGAGTAAAACATTTTGTGAAATGTGCTTACTTGCTTTAATGCTAAGTGTCACAAAAGAAGATCGATAGCAGTTCCTTAGCTATCTGTTAAATATGAAGCTACAGCTAGCAGGCCATTTGCCTAGTGTAATATAAAAATTGGAAACAGGAAAACAGCTAGCCTGGCTCTGTTTAAAGGTAATTTGTCTGCACATAACTCCCTGTAAAACCACAACTTGTCATTTTTGCAGTCCTTATGCTAAGCTAAGCTAACTGTCTCTTGGCTGTAGCTTCAAAATTGAAATTGTCATGAGTGCTGGTGCATGTTATCATTTCTCTTTCTTATTCTCTAGTCTTGCTTTCATCTGTCTACTAAGGCAGATACTGTAAGCCATAAAAACATGTTTTAATAAATGTGTCTTTCTGTGACCCAGAATTCAGCCAAGAGTTCCCACCAAGCACCCTCTCCCTGGAGGATCAATGGGAAGTGAGTACACACACACACACACACACACAATGCAATACATCCCCCCTTCAGTCACATAGATAATTGAGAATTTATAATTCACCGGAGCTCTGCTGCAAAATACCACGGCGCCCCTGACAGCCACTTGCTCAAACAAACCCCCTCAGGAAGCAAATAAAAGGATTGATTTGTTGTAGATGTGAGGAGAAGAAGACTGGAGGGGCTGCCGAGTGCTGGGTGAGAACGAGTGATGGAGGGAGTGATGATAGATGGAGGAGGAGAGGGGTGGATGAGCTGTGGATGTGAAGCTAATGAGTTTGGACAGCTCTGACGCTCCACAGCAGCAGGACTGGAACTCAGTGTGTGTGTGTGTGTGTGTGTGTGTGTGTGTGTGTGTACACGGTGTGTGAGAATCAGCCACAAGTCGTTGGGTCAGCGAGGGTCAAGGCCACATCACAGACATTACATCACTGCCAGAGCCACACACCCAGCTGTGCCAGGCAGGGGGAGCAGTTTGTACTAGCATGACTGATGTTACTGTAGAGTGAATATCAGTGAAACTGTGAAATGCCACACACCCGCTCACATTTAACACTTTTTATAGCCTGAAGGCCTGAAATGATTAGTCCTTTGTTGTATTTGATACAGTTCCCTGCAAAGCCAAAACAAAAGACTCATTTTTATTTTGTCTGATTAATTGCCAACAAAATAAATTTGCAGCACTATAAATATTAGTAAACAGTATCACTGCTAATGTAGTTGTGGTACAGTAGTTGTTATACAGTATAAATGGATAGGAACAATCAGTAGCCTCTGTCTCATGTACCCATGTTTATCTTCGTGCTAGCATGCTATAAAGTTAAAGCTGCACTAATCAATACATTTATGTTAATAACACATCAAATGACTACATGTAATGTGAAAGGTGTCAAATATAGTGACAGCCCCACAGAGAATTATTATTTTTCCAACTCTTTTTATCACTACCAACTCTGCACTTCCCCCCAGCTCTGCACAGCTCTTTAGCTTCTTTCAGTTCATTGTTTTGGTTTGGTTGGCAAATTTAGTGTTTTGGTTCAGTCTCACTGCTCTCATCAACATCGTGTCTGGCAGCAGCAGACAGCTGTTTTTATTTAAAAACCTCTGATAAATCCACTGTACACCACCTGCCCAATCCTGGATTAATAGAAATGATTCATTGAAATCAGTTAAGAAATATAATTTGTTGACAGGCAAGTCTTGCTCTTACTGTGACACTGACGTATCACTGCAAACGGACTGACACAGTCAATGTGGTGTCTACAATGTGGTGTATATATACACATATATATATATATATACCATGTTTTCTATTAAACTTGTTGCTTCCTAACAAGTATGGTGCTGCTTCTCCTTTGTCCCGTTCTATAACATCCTTTACTTTCCATCTTGTTCTCTCCTGAAGAGGATAAACGCTTTTTCCCATCAGTCTCTCATCTGTTCCCCTACACACTTAAAAATAATGCTTTTCTTGTTTTGTGCTGTTGACAGCAGTCAAGGACTTTTTAGCAGTCTTATTTGTAAAAATAGTAAAGACACTATTCAGTAGATACATTCTTGACACCAGTGAGTCTGTCTGGAAAATATGTAACTATATTCTCGGCTGACAGACTCTAGAGCACACTTTCCTCTTTGTATGTTATCAGGTAACTCAAAAGCCCTTCCAGCATACACAAGCTCTCTGTTTAATTCTCTCGGTGTTACTGGGACTCACTGCCTCTCTGTGTTTTCCAGGGTCAACGGGACTCCATCTCCCCTCTCACTCAGCCCCTCCCCAGCCAGCAGCGGAGGTGGAGGAGCAGGAGGAGGCTCTGGAGGTGCCCCAGGCTCGTCAGGAAGTGTGGCTATTCCCCAGCGGATTCACCACATGGCTGCCAGTCACGTTAACATCACCAACAACATCCTGCGGAGCTATGAACACTGGGAGACGGCTGACAGACTGGCCACTGATAGCCAAGGTAGGACTACAACTGAAAATGACTTTACATTTACTTTACTTTCTTCCTCTGCAGTGCTGAAACGTTCTCCAGAGGGTTTTCAACACCCAGCTGACAGCAGGCGATTGGAAAAAGGAAATGTGAAAGCCTTTAGAAAAAGGCTGTGTGCACATTCACACACAGTCACCAGATTAATATTTAAGTCTTAAGAAAAGTTGTAGTTTTATACCATGTACTAATTAACACTGTAAAATATATCATTTTAATAGTGAGGAGAGGAATTATTTAAAGGACAGATTTCCTCCCATGTTTGACATGAAATAGTCCCTGCTTATTCAGCTCCACTGGTCTTACATGTAGTGGTTTTATCAGAAACTTTTCCGCTCTATTCACTGACCTAATGGACTTTTGAAGCGTCCTTGAATGCTTTCCTTTTCTAACCAAAGAGCAGGCACTTGATCAGCTTTCCAACCATCATTACTGTATAACTGGTTCCACTACACTTACAATAGCCAGTAGTTTACAAGCCCTCTGATAGGAGAAGCTTTTCCTAAATTATGACCCTTGACCTCTTGACCTGTCTCACCAAAGAAAAGAAACATGATTTCAAGATGAATTTGTGTGTAAGAGTGCAGTCAATGTACAGGGTCATCAGGGCACCCTCTCTGTAACTGGTGTTTGGTTGAGTTGGGCTGTCAAAGCAGGGACTCTCTGAAAACTTGGTAGTTCACTCAGACAGGTGTGGTTTTGCAGGACGCAGCAGTGCACACTTTGGTGAGCAATGTGACTGTCTCAGCCTGTGAGTGCACATTCATAGCTTATATGATAACCTGTGTACACCATTGTAAGATCGCAGAACAGTAGTCCTGAATTATTTTGATTTGATGAAAATGAGCAGTTGGACTGAGTGTCAAAGTATGGTTGAGTTTTTTTTTTCTAAATCTTGGAGAATTAGACAAACTAGACGTAATAATACACAAGTATAAAGGCATGACAGAATGTTATATTCATGTTTTCATGTAATTTGTATATTTGGTCACACACCTGTTTACACAGAAACTGATAGTCTGACTTGTAAGTACATTTGGGCTCAGCATAAAAAATCCTTTCTATTGAAGTTTCAGCCATGAGGCCTCCTGTAGGTTTAATCTTGAGATTAGGGCAAAGATTAGGTTCGTAAACAACTTAACGGTTTAGCTAGCTCATCTAAAAAGTGACGACACAACCCAATGCGAGCTGACGAGAACGTATATTAGGCACACAACATTCTGTGTGATGAAGCATGTAAATCACCACTCCTGTGTGAGACCCATTGACACAGAGAAGGCCCAACAGTATGTTTAGACCCAGAACCACCCCATCTTTACCTACACTCAACACAGCCTTCCATTGTATGCACTTTTGTCTACATCATCCACCTTTACTTAATGTCATTAGTTAAATTACTTCATCAAAAAATAATGGGGTTTTTTGTGTAAAGTGTTGTTTCACAAGTTTTGATGGTGTTTATGAATAAATGACTGAGCTGACTTTGCCTCTCGATGCCCACAGCAGCAACAGAAAAAACAGCCAAACTGTAGTCATGTGTCATTTCAGCACAAGCAGCAGCAGAGACAGTAACCCTCAGTAACTGTGTCTCTCTCTCACCCCCCTGTAGAGTTCTTCCAGGAGCTGGACTCGGTGATGGAGCCGTTGAGTCAGCAGAGCAGCATGACAGAGCTGGTGCGATACATCAGGCAAGGACTGCACTGGCTCCGCTTAGAGGCTCACCTGCTGTAAGGACTGGACCAGAGCCAAAATTTGAAAAAAAAAAAAAAAAAAGAAAGAAAGAAAAGAAAAAAAGAGATGGGCCTGGGAGCTAGAACTGGGATAACAAGTGAGATGAGACTCATGACGATGCTTCAGTTCCCACTGGGATCCTTCAAATGACCCGACACCACCCACAGTAATGTAACAGCATAGACTGGGTGGATTAATTGGGCTGAAATTCACCTGCAATTAGGACTGAACAGTAATTAAGTTTGGGAACTTCAACTGTGACGCACAAAATACAAATTAGCACATTAAACATTTGGCTGATGCTGCTTTTTGGAGCAACTGTATATTGGTGCAGGTAGCATAGACTCCTAAAGGGACAATAGGTGTTAGAAACCTCCCTGCGCCCCTGAATAGAAATAAGAAGCAAAGAGGAAAGGTAGAAAGTATTTTTACTAAGACAGGATCATTTTCAAAAAGATATGTGAGAGGCTGATGTGATTAAGGAGGCTGACGATAAAGAAGCAGCTCAACAGAGGCTCATCTGATCCAGCAGTGGCCCAGAAACGTGTCCGTGATTGGGGCTAGAATTAAAGCCTCAGGCTGATATTGATCCAACTGGAGTACTGGTCCAATCCATTAGATCAGGACCACGCTGGTAAAGGAAAGAGGCTCAGCTACAAACACTATTGATGAGGCTAAAGTTAGTCCTCTGCCTCTGTTGCAGTTGGAAGTTGTAACCTGCCTCAGTTGTGTATTCCTTCTGTAACTTAACAACACACAGTAATCAGTCACAGGGATTTAAAATGGCTTCTGAAGAATGACAGCTGAATAGTCAGCCTTTGTGGTTAACATGTCAGTCACATTTTACACAAGTTATAATCCTTAAGAATTTCATCACATCCAATTCAGTATTTGACACTATTCATGGCTGACATTTATTCTGCTGCCTATATGGATTTAAACTCGTTAGTTACCTTTCCTATAGTAGTTTGCGTTGTCAGTGACAGAGTCCGCCATTCTGTTTCAAATGGTGCACACATGCACTAAGGATTCACGTCAGACAGTGCACACACAGGATGGAATTTAGAAGACCAAAGACTGTGCATGCATATATGTATGTAATAACATGAAGCAGAAGAGCAGAGCAGCTGGTCCTGGGCATTTTTAAAAGGAAACATATTTATGTCAGACCTGGTTTAACCACAGAGACATTGGCAATGTAAACAGATATACAAGTTGCTCATCTTCTTCTGTTGTATTTCTGACAGAGTAGCTGCTCAAAGCTTGTTTCCTGCCCTAGCAATCAATACAGTTCTTAGAAAACTCTAGGACTTGTATCAGTAAGACATTCTTAGCTTTACCATTAGTAACCACAGGTGTCGCTAATTTAGTTCAATTCAAAACACTTTCTTTGTCCCCTGGGGCCAACTTGTGGAGGCACGTAGTGTGGGTAACACAATGTGAAAATAAATGGACAAAGCTACCACGATGTCACCCATTTGTTTGTCGACTCCCATTTTGAAGCGTCGAGTTCGACGCTTCAGCTGGCGCCATCTTGGGGTTTTTTTGCCGGGAGTAACCACATTTGGGTGAGAGGGTGAAGCTGTGAAAGAGTGAGGGGCGGATCTGACAGAGAGGCCAAGGGCACTATCAGCAGACAGCCTGTCACTCAAAGTGGCCCCGCCCTTAATCATGCGTAACTTGAGAAAACATTTAGCCTCATACAGTTGTCATGAAGGGGAAATTATCTATAGAGACCAAAACTGCTTTTTGTACCAGACTGTAAATGTGTTTATATATGCCGTAAAGTTGGGCATTTTAACACGGGAGTCTATGGGGACTGACTTGCTTCTGGAGTCAGCCTCAAGTGGCCGTTAGAAGAACTGCAGGTTTTGGCACTTCCATGTTGGCTTCATTTTTCAGCCCTGGAGGTTGCAGACTGGTAAAAATGCAAACATAGTTATATTAGTATATTATTCAGATTAAAAAATATGCTGTACAAATAATAATAATGATCAATCAGAAGTGAAGTTTTAAAGGTTATAACTTTAAATCTGGATTTGCTTTTTGATCATCTTCTAGCTAACCACAAGAAATCAGATTATTTAGATTTTTCCTCTAAATGGAGTCAGGTACAGTTTGAAAGTTCCATATTATGCCAATATGATTACTGAGTTTTAATGGCAATACCAAAACAACATACAAACAAATATAAATACACAAGCAGTCATACAAAAAAATTTCCGTTAATAAAAATTATTACTTTAATGATCAGCTATCTCATTAAAGAAGAAGTAAACAAAATGTGAATTTGACATTTGATACCAGTTTTCCATATTGAAAGTTTTTGGTCCAAAAAGGTGTTGTGGTTTGAGACCCAGCCCTGCCTCTCAGTGGAGCAGTTTATGGTGTAGGGCAGTGACACCAACATATTTAAAGCTTCAAATACATCTATGAGTATCAGAATATCCTCACTCTGTCCAGCTGCCATCAAGCAACTCCCACATGTGACCTTGATCAGTGGTTTGTTAAAGTAGAAGCTCTGAGATCTCAAATGTGGAGCCTCCAGGTACAATCGAATCAAGATAACCTGAACATTAAGATGTGTCTGGCCAGACTGAGGATTATAGGACCTGGTCAAGTTGCAGTCTGGAGAGTTAACAGCTCAGCAGTCCAACAAATAAGGGTTTTCTTCCATCAGAAAAAGCATTTGTCTGGTTCTTCTCTTACTGGTTATGGTCTTAAATGAAATTCCACTCAGTTCTATTTCCCACAGCAACCCACCCACTAAAGTGTCAAACACTTACGTGGGGAAAAAACTACAAGATTCAGTGTGATTTGCAATTAAGCTCCCCACCCACGTGCAAATCAAGTGAACAGGGTGAAAATCTCACAACGGCTTTTCTTCCCTGATGTCAAAAAATCTGTGCGACAACAGGGACTTTGTACAGCGCATAATGAGATCACATCATCTGCTGGATATCTTGTAGTTGTTTCCCAACATTTGTCGTGTTGTGTTGTTAGTGTGTATACGTGTACAGCCGATTGTCAAGTCTATTTAAATCATTACCTGACTGGACAATACCGATGTTTGTGTACCATAATGTACAGACTGTGACTCCTGGAAACAGTGTTTGTTTTTGTTTTTTAGTGTCTTGTGAATGATTCAATGTGAGTGGATGAGGAAGTGCAACAAGAAAATAGGGTATCTATATATTTGTGTGTGTACGTGAGGGTGTGTATGAGTGTGTCCATGCACAGGCTATGGCTGCATTTACACAGCACCAAACATAATCTGATTTTTAACCATTGGTGGCACATAAAAACAAAAGGAGAGCCTGTTGTTTCCATGTGGCTTCTCTTGTTTTTACATGTGCTATAAAGACTAAAACTCTGGATTTGTTTGTATGGTCTCTGTAAATCCAGCACATCAAGCATGAGTTTTTAAGTTTTGGATCATTCGACCATCGCTGAATGTGTATGGAAGACAACGCGGATGTGAAAAGTAATTTTCACTTTGACAAAAAAAAAAGAAACTCAAGTGCCTCTATTTGTGTCCAGTGGGAATTGCTCTATTTATTTAAGAACAAAGAATTAATCTAAATGATTTTCCATACCATATTGGTATAAATATGAGATTGTTTTTCGTAAAATCAAATGTTTCCACAAGCTTTTTACTGGCGTTTATGATGACACCAGGGTTTGGCTTTAAGAAAAATGTGTGATTTAACGTGTCAAATTTGCATTAGTTGCTGGGGGTTTTTTTCTTGATGATTTGAGCAAGTATGAGTTTGTCTGAAATGCCTGAAAAATGTAAACCATCGCATGCAATAAATGATAGCTTCAGACCAAGAACTACTTGTGTCCATTTTGAAAAAAAAAAAAAAAAAACAGTCAATGTATTTCTTGTTGCATAGTCATTTACAGTGTGAATGTTCTACGTCACCTGAAAATACAGAGCCGCTTTAAATGCACAACACTAAAGTTAACAGTCTGATGGAGGTAATAATGCTTAAGATCATCTTCACAGGAAAAGTTCCACATTTTAGGAAATGCACGTCTTGCAGAGAGTGAGATGAGATGATTGATACCACTGTCATGTCTGTTGTCTAACTCTGAGGCTACAGCCAGCAGCTGGTCAGTAATGATGGCCAAATGAAGCTTCATGAACCATTTACTTTACTTTCTCAGCCCACCAGATGGCGCTCTCTGTTGAACAAAGGGTTGAAAGAACATTAAATTGCCATTCAATTTGCCATACAACTAATGGTTCACAAAGTTCATTTGGAGCTCACTACTGCTGGAAACAGGAAACAGCTAGCTCGGTTTTGTCCAAAGGTAACAAAATCCATACAGTACGAGCAGCTCTAAGCTCACTAATTAACTAACTAATTGTGTCTAGTTTGTTTTATGGAAATAATTGGATTAATTAAATATGTTGATGTTTTTTTTACAATGTGTAAAAATGTGTACAGTGTGCACAGAAAGGTTATTTTCAGTCAAAAAGTAACTAGCAAGCTAACACTAATGCTAGTTGAAGCATCAAGCAATGGAGTGCTGCCAAGAATGAGCCCTGGAAATGAGTTAGCATTTTACCACTCCAGTTCCCTAGTCTCGAAGTCGGTGTGTTTTTATTTAGATGCCTGAAATGAGGTCTGTGGTTAACACAACCTTAAGAGACTTTCACAGTTCATTTTACGCCTTAAAACACGTCAGTAAATACCCCACTTGTGAATTTTAAAGCTTTCATGTGTCTTATAAAAGATGGTTGCTAACAAGCGGCTAAATGAGACTACAGAATGTCATCACGCTGAAACAACTTTATAGTCTTGTTGTGGTGGCAATGTTTAGTCATGCGACTGTAGTGTAGTTCATTTACAGCCTTAAGTTAGTTTTTTACATCTGGTGATTGAATTCAGGCTTCAAAAATCACAAAAGTGCTGTTCATTTGTCAAGATTATCTTGTTGAACAAAACTTGTAACTATCATAAACGTTTGTTAGCCATAGAGCTTATTAATCTAAAACTAACTTTTTGACGAGGGAACCAGGGCGACACTAAATT